TTTACTAAGTAAACCTCTTTTCAATGCTTAAGTAAAGTTGTAGAGGAGTGTCTTGGGAACAGAATGGTGGTTAAAACGTTAAAATTGGTCTAGTAGATCATGAGATATAAGTATTTTTATCTTTGTAATTATATGCTTTTTTCTTTATTCAAAACTTTGAACATGTTTATGAACTTTGAACCTAGGTTCAATAGGAACACTAATCATACTATTCATAATTCGCTTTAATGGCCGTTGATCTGGGAATTCATTTCTTAATTTGACATTTTGCACCTTTTGACTATTATATCCAAGATCATTTACTTCATCAGCAGATCCTTGATAATTATTGAATGCTCTATGTTTGTTCTTTTCATTATTAGTTCCATTTTCATAACAACTACCATGATTACACGTAGTGTTAGCATTACCCATATCAGCATATTTTTGATAATTAATGAACATCTTATATTCATCCTTTTCATCACAAGTTCTCTTTTCAACTTCTACTCTATTTCGATCAAGATTACACATTTCATCAACGTGACCTATTTTATAGCAATGTTCAACTATAGATGCTTCAACAGCATTATTCATATTTGCAAATTTTTGACAAGGAATGAATGCTTTATATTCATTATTTTCAACATTAGCTTCAACAGCTTTTGATTCATTCGATTTATCCTTATTACTATTATATATCACAGATAAGTTCTCTGAATTCATGTCTTTTATTTGATTTAGTTTCTTTTTGTTTAACCCATTAACAATCCTCTTATTCTTCTCTTCATTATCAACATCATCACCCTTACTCAAATTATCTTTGACACATCTAATATTCACAAATTCATTTCTCTTTGAGCATCATTCTTCACTATACTGCTTTTATCCATCACATATTCATCTAAGATATTAGCAATCACAAACATTGCTTTTTTATAACTTGATTCGATAACACTAATTGCCTTTATATTGAATATTACAATTAGATCTTGTGATCCACGGCATTCCAAGAACAACATCACAGCATAATCCTTACTTTACATAGAACTTCTAAACCACTTTGATACCATCAATATTAACTTCAACACCAGGAATGCATTCAACAATTTTATTACTGATTTTATTATTTGTATATTTTCAGGTAAACCCTTTTACTTTTGCATATCTTATGCTTATTAGATTTGAATATAAACTAGTTCTAATCATTGCTTTTGCAAACTTTCCATTTACCTTCATCATCTTTCCTAATATCTCTCTATTGTCCTTATCTTTTTCTTCTCTTTGCTTTATACTTCATACAAAATGATTATACTTCTTTTCACCAACATCTACATGACATACTTCTATCAACTTATTATTCAACCATCATTCACAGACTTGATCTATCATATACAGACATGAACAAGCCAAGTGCCCTTTACATTGACACATGTAACATAAACATGACATACACCTTTTCTATTTCACTTGACCAGTCTTCAAGCTTTTCATTACTTCTTGAACCACAATTTTCACAATTTTTTTCAATATTACTAGATAATTCGTTTCTTCTATTCTCAATTCTGATTTTGTTAAACAACTTCAACTTGCGGCTTTTGCACTTAGCAAAATACAATAAACTTTAACAAGGTTTTGTGAGTAGACCTTTGTCTTACCCAGGTTCTTGTATTATAGAGTTATCTAAACTACTATGTATTTGCGGGTCTTTACTATCAAACTTCACTCGCTTGGCTAATTATGCAATGACTGGAGTATCATATCAGATACTACTACTACCAATACAATATCACTAATATACAGTTGATTCACTAAGAGTAAAGTTTATTGTTTGGATGTTTCTTTATTATTAAAGACTTTCTATTCATCACTCTCTAATCTAAACTAATTTTTCATTACTAAAGACCATTGTTCTATTTATATAACATAATAGATTGATCATACAATGCATAAGTTATACAAATCCAATCCTAATCCCATGCTACTAAACACATGTCTACTAATTTTACCATGTCAATATATTTAATAGGCAATTCTCCAGTCAACTGGACAAAATTTTTTTTTTATATATAAATTTTACTATAAATATGAATGCACTGAGCCTGTATCTAAAACTTTTTTTATACTAAGTAAATCACTCTTTGGCTTCTAACAAAAGTTGTTGAGCTCATCAAAATGTACTTAATACTAAAGGATATTAAAATTGGCCTGGTAGTTCTTGAGAAATCTTTAAAAAATGTCTTTTTCACATATAAAATTTCTTTAAAAAAAATCAATTTTTTTTAAAGAAATTTTATATGTAAAAAAGGAGTTTTTTAAAGATTTCTCAAGAACTACCAGGCCAATTTTAATATCCTTTTAGTATTAAATACATTTTGATAAGCTCTACAACTTTTGTTAGAAGCCAAAAAGTGATTTACTTAGTATAAAAAAAAATTAGATACAGGCTCGGTGCATTCGCACTTATAGTAAAATTTATATATAAAAAAAAAAATTTTGTCCAGTTGACTGGAAAATTGCCTATTAATAAAATTTTATATTATTGTAAAGAATATAAAAAAAGACATTCTAGTAGCCATATTTGGCTACTAGACAGTTTAAGAAATAATTAGCATTATTGACAATTTTAAATTTATCAAGATAAATATTATTTAAGTTTGGGCTATCTTTAATAACTGGGTTTTTTCCAATTTAAAGATTTTTTTATTTAAATTAATAGCTATTCTATTTTGACAGCTAGAACCAACTTAGAATGTTTTTTCTATATTTTGTGGCTCTTAATAGTTAGTAAGAGTCTTATAATAGTTACTAGTAACTTTATTTTTATCAATATAGCTCATTTTAGCAAATCTTTAAAAATCTTCGAAAACTTTCTTTTTGATCTTTATTTTATTCTTGCAACTATGTTTATTTGCTTTATTAATATGATTCATCTTTGCTGATCTTTGGTAATAAGTATGCATCTACTTACTATTTTTAGCTATAGTTTTTCTTATATAACAGGAACTAAAGATATATAATCTATTAGTTCTGCTTATTTCAGCAGCTTTTTAATAAGAAATAAATACCTTATATTTATTTGTTTCATTTTTAATTCCATGTTGATTATAATGCCCAGAGTCATATGAGGTAGAGTCAATAGAAAAGTGTCAGTTTGTTTTTAGTAGATTTTTTTAATTTTTGAATTAAAATATTTCAACAATTAACCAAATTTGCTTAAAATTTTTTTATTTTAATTTTAAGCCTATAAAGAATTAAATAAAAAAATAATTATTAAATTTGATAAGATAATTACTAAAATATTTAAGTTTAAAATCAAGAAAATATTTACTTAGAAAAAATTTGTCTATTTTCTATTAACTCCACCCTATATGTTTCACCAATTCAATCTACTTTGGTGACTTTTTGATAATAAATAGGTATCTTATGAATGCTTATTCTAACTCTATTTTGACTAAGAACTCTTATCTTTACTATTATTAATTCCTAATCATTAAAAAACATAGAGAACTTTAGTTTATCTACACAATCAGCACCAAAATATCACAGTTTGGGAATCACTAGTTTAAGCTCTAACCATAAGCATAAAGAGTCTATATTCTCTTGTTTATTATTTTATTACTATTAGAGTAGTACAAGTTAGATATGTAAATGTTGGAACTGAAAAGCTATAATCTAATGTTTTTATTTTTGTAAGAGGTTTTTAATTTATTAAGACTATACTTGTTTGTTGCTTCGGGTTTTCTAATTTATTTATCAAAATAAAGTATTTACAAGACAAATAATAAATATGTTAAAAATATCAAAATTATTGTAAATACTACAAATACTAAGAATGAAAAAATATGTTACATATTGAAAGAAAGGGCATCTTTACTTTTTAGCAAGAACTGTCTCTTAAATATATTTTTCTGCTAAATAATTCTCATGGTAGAACAATTCAAGAATATAATTATGGAAGAAAAATGTAAAGTAAATACACAAAACAAAAGAAATAAAGTAACCAGTATGTAGTAAATGATAATAGATGGTGCTGGGTAACTGATTGATCATCAAATGTAATCATCAGTACATGACACTGCTGAAATCTACATGACATCAATCAAATCAAGCAAATTTTGTCTAAATACAAAATTTCTCATGGCATTAGAAGGAAGAGTTAGAAGTAAGGAAGCTCTGACCTAATCTTCATTCACACTCCATCTGAATTTTTATACCTGGGAGGTGTTACGTTTGGAGGGAGAGCTTAGTAGTTAATACCAGTTTAGCATCGATCATAGACAAAGGATGAGGCATTTGTAATGAACTTCATGGTATTAGTTTAGTCAGTTTCAGATATGAGAGTTGTCAGTTTAATGAAGCAAGTCATGTGGTCAATAATCAAACTAATTTATTACATATTGTCAATCTGAGTGAAAATAGTTCAATTTCAAAGTAATAAATGAACTTTACAATTTTGAGTAAAGAGTTTCACTTTATTTATTGTTTGTTCCAAGCACTAATACAAATAACCTTATAACAATGGAATTTCACTCAAACATATATGCACCTAATAATTGCATATGCCTACAAGCGATAATTGTTTGATTTAAAGTTGAAACCATCTCTATTTATAATTTCTAAAATTTCTGTGGTGTCTAGAGCTGTGACCCGGGTTTGACCCGAGTCAACAATTTTCGACCCGGGTTGACCCTTATCAATAGTCACATAGGTTAAGCTTGAAAATATATTTTGAAATATAACCATTTTAACTCGGAAAATCTCGGGTTTTGTGTCAAAAAAA